CGTTCATGCCAGAAAGTATTTCTTCTAGTTGATTGTATCCGCCGCCTGTCATCATTGTACCGGAAACAGCGCTGCGGTTGATGTCCATCGTGTTATCACTGTTCTGAAGGCACGATACGCACTCAACGTGATTACACATTTGGCATTTTACTTTGTACTTTTTTTCAAGTCCGTTTTGTTGACATCCAATTATTTGAAAGTGTTCCACGCCACAGCCGATACTTGAATGTTTTCCAAGCTGTATTATTTGCTTGAAAACATGTTGAAAATCGACGAAATCTATCCCGCTAGAAACTGATTTTTCTTCTAACTGCGGTGGTTCTGCTGTTTCTATTAATGCATAATCTTCTAAATCAGATTCAATATCTTCCACGTTTTCTTCGTACGCTTCAATATCTTCCACGTTTTCTTCGTATGCTTCAATATCTTCCACGTTTTCTTCGTACGCTTCAATATCTTCCACGTTTTCTTCGTACGCATCAATTTCTTCCACGTTTTCTTCGTACGCTTCAATTTCTTCCACGATTTCTTCGTACGCTTCAATTTCTTCCACGATTTCTTCATACGCCTCAATTTCTTCCACGTTTTCTTCATACGCTTCCACGGTCGAAAAATCATTCGCAGTAGGCGAGTGTGGAAGCATCTTATAAGAAGTGGAAGGTTCTTCAATCGCAGAATAATCAGTCGTAACAGGCGAGTGTCGGAGCATTTCGGAAGAGCTGGTACCTGCATCGTTTACGGTACAGGTGCTCTGACCTACCGCGAGGTACGCTGCCTTCTTCAAACGACGCCTAAGTAGAAATAACACACACACACATGCAGGTACCAAATAAAAACAATTGCTTATTACGGAAGATAGTGTGAAGTTCAACGAATGAAGCGAGTGTGCATGAGAGAGAGAGAGAGAGAGAGAGAAAGAGAGAAAGAAACCGAACCGTTCAAATGTTCGAGTACCTTGATCGCAGCTGATAGCTTGATCGCGACGGGTAATCCGACACATTCGAGTCATACAGGATTGCCTCCAAATAAGCAAGTGGCTCGGGACAGAACAGTTGCTTATTTCGAAACAGGTATGCTATTCGGCTTGACTTTGTTCTCGAAACGGGACGATAGAGAACGCGAGAAACGAGTGAGAGATCCGAGGTAGCGGTAAATCATAAAGCGATCGGCCGAGCAGCGATGTTACTTTTTGAACAAGGATAGAATATAGCATGCCCTCTCATTCTCGCACTATGCGTTTCCGAAGGCATGTAGAAGCACATGATCGAAACATGCTCCAATTTACTAATTGCGTGTTATACTCCCTCTTATTTCTTTTGACGAAATATTAGTGCACATCTGTGTACGAATGTTATATAATTATTGCTAGGAATACACAGGACATGTAATTACAAATATTCAAAATGTTCTCTAAATTATTGATATACATAAATGGATATATAATATACGAAAAGATGTTTTAAATGCCACTCTTGAAGAAATAAAGAAAATTTAATTGTGAAACTCTTTTTCACTGGCGCATCGACAAGGAGTTTTGTATATTTTGTATATTGTTGTTACTCGCAGTATACTAATTCCTCCGAGATTGCGACTGTGTTCGGAATCTAAATGTTGCAATGACGGTAGAGGATACTCGAAATTCTATGACTGGGCGGCAAGACTCTGTCGCCGCGGCTCGCCTTTGTAGTAAAACACGGTCGTAAAAGAGAAGGATAGCATGAGAGGCTCGGAACACATCAGAATAGCTAATACTAGAATGAGAAAGCATATTCCATCGTTCTTCTACTAATTGCCTTCACCCAAACAAAACATCGGCTTCTCGCTTTCACAGACCTCTCACTCATTTTCCGGGCCTCTATTCTAAAGGAGAAAGATGGAATGAAAGCTGGAGCAGCGTAAAATTGCCAATGTTTCAATGGATCAGGGCCGTACTTTTGAAATTTTTCACGTGACAATTCAGTCGAAACACGATATACGTCGAATTATTTATAACAGAGCTCGGTAGGATTTGCCCTTTTCAGCTGATTTTCAGCTGGCTCCGCGTACCGCTATTCCCCTTGCCGCGACATTCAGCACGCAACCTACGATCCGTTCGAGGCTCAGGAGCGTATCACTCATAAACGTACGCTGGCAATAGCTTCCCACCTCACCCACGAGGTACTATTGTCGATGCGTTTTTTTTTAAGTGGTTGCCAGCATATGTTTACGAGTGATACGCTCTTGAGCCTTGAATGCTTCGTACGCTGCGCGCTGAACGTCGCGGCAAGGGGAATAGCGGTTGGCGGAGCAAGCTGAAAATAGGCTGAAAAGTGGAAATCTTGCACAGCTCTGATTTATAATAATCCGAGTTTGTAAGAAACGATAATTGATAACAGACATTGTAACCGTAACAAAGATGAAAAAAACGCGGGCATCGCGGGACGGCCGATAAGAGCGAAGCTCAAGTCATAATGCGTAAATTTACAGTTTAGAATTGATTTAGTAATTTCATGGTATAATATTGATAATGAAAATAAAATGGTCAATATTAGAGAAATGATATTTATTACTATAAATAAATACGGCGAGATCGTCTTTTGTCGCGAGCGTTCTCGTACACACGATCGACGCGAAATTTCACTGGATATCCGCTTTCAAAACATGTGAATGGGAGACAAATAGCGGAGAGGGGCCCGAGAATTGGAGTCGATGGTACGCGCAATCATGGTAGGCACCGAACGCGCAAAGGAGAGCTCCAATATAAAAAATGAAAGAAGGGAGAGAATGAGAGAAGGGAATATGTAATATTGTATTACATATTATAAAATACCATGATATTACTGCATCGAAAACTAATGACTTCATGCAAACATATAATATAAAACATAACTTACCTTTCTTGCCGTTTTTTATTTTTAGATACACGCTTTGCAAATATGGTATAACTCCGATTTTTCTTATTCCCTTTCAAATGCATTCTGCTTCTTGCATTTTCACTTTCTTCTTTTCGTTCCATATTCACACAATTAACACAATAATGTATAAAAATGAAATAGTTCAAAAGTTATAAATTATACACAACAAGTTATAAATAATACACAACAAATTATAAATAATACACAACAAATGAAAACTCTACTGAAAACTATTGCTTTCTTGCGCGTGTTCACCGTTGTGCGGAAAACAAAAGAAAATCAGAGAGAGCATCAGAAATCCAAGATGGTAAGTACCTTCAAGACGCACATACATTCGTGTCTTCCTTATTTTATGAAATAACAAGTTTTTATTATTCACTGTGCATATTTTTAGGAAAAAATGGATTGCAGCCAAGGCAACACTGTGATCACCGAAAATACAGAGCCGAATGTAAGTACCTTTACGCTCAATATCTTTATCACTTTTATTCTTCTATGTGTTGTGCGAGTTCTCAAATGAAAAGACGATTTTCGGAAATTTTAATCATTTATAATTTTTAAATGCGTTCACTGATATAGATGAAATTTTTAGCATACACATAACTTATCTGAATCTACGAAAGTCATTACAAATTTTCATTATAGACTAACAGAAAAAAGTTGAGAAACTACCATTCTCTATTTTTTTTTTATTTCAACAAATTGTAATTTTTTTAAACGATAAAAATATATATTTTAGTGAATTAATTTTACAGAGAAATCAGGGGAACAGCAACGAGAAGTCGGCCAAAGAAGGAAATAAACAAAAAATTCCGGAGGATCCTAATGAATTTCAAAAAGTACTAGCAACATATAAGAAACAAGTATGTATACATATACATATAATTCCGATTTCTCAGCGTGGAATCAACACCCATATGATTATACTACAATAATTATGTTTATGTTAAATCTTACAGATCTCTGATATGAAAAAAGAGATCAAGAAATTAAAATACAGCAGAGCGGCAAGAGGGGGAAGAGGCAGAGGAGATGGTAGAGAAAGCAGAGGTGGAAGAGGCGGAGAACGTAGAGGAAGAGGAAGAGGAAAATGGGGAGGACATGGAAAAAATCAAACAACAATCATTTTTAAATAAAAAAAATAAAAATACTTATTAAATAAAAAAATACTATGGTTTGTTTATTGTAGATTATACCCATACCCTAATTATAAGTAAATATAATATTATTAGTACATAATTTTTTAATATATAGGTGTATTTAATAACAAACATAAAGTAAAATAAGTCAAATAAATACATATTCCAAACAAATTTGTTTTCTAAATTGGCAAGAAGTATTATATCGCGTTTTTTACAGAAGAATAATATTTCTATTTAATTATATTTGTGCATATCTAAGTTTGTTCATCTATTTTCTATTGACTTTTTACAAATTTACTGTAAAGATATTGTCTTTTGTCATGATTACACGTTAGCAGACGTTCTCCTTATACGCCACCTTCTAACCACTAGCTGAACTGAATTTGTCACATGACTTGATCTGTATTATCCACAAAATGGCGGAACTGGTCTGCGAGAATGCTTTTACGGGCATCCGTTATTCGTCCTTATTTTGCAACAAATGAAGACAAAATAGATCTTAATTTACAGGTAAGGGTCGTGGCTAGACCGCTCAACTCATGATTTCAATCACAGCACTCTTTTAGTGGCCTAAAAATGCTTCGATTCCGCGAATGCATTTTTTCGATTTTTTACCTCTTCTTTGGACGCTTATATTACTAAACATCAACATAATCCCACTGAAACATGAGTTGAGCGGTGTGCATTGGACCTTCCTCTTTCGAATAAGCCCTCACCCAGCCCTAAATGTTCTCATACAAGGACGAATAACGGAAGCGCGTAAACCCATGTTTATGCCCATTTTTGCCGGTAATGTCAACGCGCTATTATTACCCGTGTCTACCCCCTTAAAGCTTATAACAAAAGACCGTAACTGTCCACGCGCTTTTAAGTCTAATGGAAATGATTGCTTAATAAAAGGAATTAAATTACCATCTTTCTTTGTTATAATTTTAGTAAATAAAGTGAATTAATATTTTCTTACGTCAAGATGATTTTCAGGAACCACGACATCACCACACATAGTAATAGGGCGACAGTTATTTATACAATGTGTATGATGATCTTTGACGAAGACTTGGCTACTTTCACATTTCCTAAAACATAATAGAAATTACAATTATTGCAATATTATAAAGTATAAATATTTTATATATTTAATGAAAAACTTAATAAGAAATAAGTTATACAATAGTTAGTAGAGTATAGTATTTATCGTTTATGATATTATTTGGAACGTTAAAGAAAATGTTTTCCGCAAATCTGTTTTCGACGCAACGTCAATCTTTAACTGCCTATATTTAAGTAATGCTTCAATTTCTGCACAAAATTTTGAGGAATTAGAATGAGCGGGCATCACAGTACGTTTTCGAATATTTTAGTCTGTAATGTTATGACTCGCGTTACAACGGTTTGCGAGATGTTGAAGATTGCAGTTTGACAGGGATAATAAATAAATAAAAGTGAAATCCACACACTCAAGTTCACAAGCGAGAGTATTTATTTCTACCAACCACAGAAATTGGTAGTACAAACACGAACAAGAAAACGATCGTGACTTTCGTCGCGTACAACTGTAATTCAAGTGCCCCGCTCCTTAAACCTACCGGGACAACGAGCAAGCTGCTTTCCGTAAAACGGCGCGAAAACTTCGCGGGAAAACACAACATATCTACCGGCGCACAGTGGGCAAAAAATGACTTTTTTTGTTCAAAATTGTCTGGAGTTCTCAATTTTTAACGGAATCGAACGTATGGCGGCTCAAATCACTCGTAGAAAGATTTTGAGGAGAAGTAGGGAAGCCGATTTTTGAAAAAATTTCACCCCAAGAACCTATAGCCCAATTAATCCATGAGACGATGCGTTCCACACATTTTTTATCGCGTTTCACCTTTCGTGGTATATTGTATTCCAAGTCTAGGTTCTACCTCTTATTTTAAGTCTGCGTTCTATCTTCTATTTCCAATCTGTGTTCTATGACCTAATATTCCATCTCATAGATTTTTGAGATACTTTGTTATTATAAATATGAGAAATATTACGCCTCGGCGGAAAATTGAAATTTATCCGCCTTCCGTCCCTTATCAAGCCCTTTTGGGTTACGAGAATTTCTCACTGTAAGGGGCGTGAGGGAGGTGTTTCTCTTTTCCGCCAATCTTTTCTATTCCTCCTCGACCTTGTGCATCCTTGTCAAGCATTCATGTACAAGGGAGAGTTTGCGTTTATTGCTTCTCTATTTTTGACTTCTTCTATAGCTTTTCTTTCTTTAACTGCTCTATCCTGACCTCGTGTATCTTGTCAAGCCCTCCGGGGTTGCGAGAATTTCTCATGCGAGGTACACGAGGAAAGGTCGTTTCTATTTCCTTCTTTTCAATAGTATTCGTAACCCTCCTTGAAACTATCGTTGCTCAACCATAGTAACAGTAATAGAATATGACACCGCACAAAAACTCGAGTCCGCTCAAAAGAGATAGAGACACTAGCGTTTACACCAGCGCTACGCAGTTAGCCAGTGCTTCGCATTACGGGAATTTCCCCGGTTAACTGCGCAGAAACGGGAAAACCGTAATAACTTCTTTCGTAGAGCGCTCTTTCTCTCTCTTTTGCACAAAGCGTCAGCCGGTCCAACAAGGATCATTGTTATATGAACGAATAACCAAAGAAATGATAGTATGAAAGAGTGGATGAATGCAAATGTATTTAGACAATAAGAGAAAGGAATGAGAACCCTTACGAAAGCGAACGTCGCGAACGTTCGAACGCCGTTCGAAATCAAGGGTCGTTTAAGGCAATAAACACTATTGTATCGAGAATTCCGAGAAATTGCCTGGCGGAAGGATCTAACGGCAAATTTGAATAAAGGAACGTTTTCGAAGGAATGTTCGTTGGACTGAAATTGTTCAAATTCATTAGAAAGCGAATGTCGAATCCACCTAACAAAATGCATTAAGATCCAATGGAATGCATGAATTGTTACGGCATTGCAGTCACCGAAATCGCATCGTCTATTGTCAAATTATCATAATTTTTTAATAACTTTCATTGCAAACGAAAGGCGAATAATTTTGATCCTTTGTTAAAGTAAAACTATACAGGTGTCGGCATTATCATTGAAAGACTACATGTTTCGTTTTAATTAATGGTTTCAATCTGATAAATGATCATTATTTCACCGCGTTACAATAATTATAATTTTCGAATAGAAATATACTGCGTAGTTTCTGGAAACCGTTGAGCGATAATGGCGACGAAATAGGAAAGAGAAGGGAACACCAAAGAAAGGGATGAAAGAACTTCGTCTAGCTCGAGCGTCTTAGGGTACGTTTATGTTGGAGCGTCGATAAACAATAAGAGCGTCGATCATAGCTGCGAAAAATTATCTCTGGTTTGTTTATAGTAGAGCTCTGATAATAAGACAACTTCACATTGCTATGATCGACGCTCTTATCGTTTATCGACGCTCCAACATAAACGCCGTAAACGTACCCCGATTCGTCAAACCGTCCCCTCCAAGGACGACGATCGCGCGACGAGCCCTTCAGGCATCGATCAGCACGAAATTTGTCTCTCTTGATCGATCAATCGTAAGTACGTGATCGGGAGTCCGTATGTCCGAGAGACAGAGTTATTTGTGAACTTCGCGATATTTTCTCTGCGGCAAAGTCCTCCGTACAGCGAGTCAGAGTGTCGTGCGAGTGAAATTTTCCGAATTCAAAATAAGGACTCATAGACGCGCACGTAAAACTTTCCTTTTACCCAAATAATCTATCTTTTTCTTTTCTTTTAAATCGTTGCTCGCGTAATCATCGTATTAGCTTCATTCGCGTAATAATAAATTATATTAATCTCGTAACTCGTCCATTCGTGTCTGTCTCTCGTCGACGTTCTCGTTCGTTTGGTTCAATTTTCGCCGCGACAAGTGCGTGATCGGCAAAAATTTTACCGTTCTTTGGTGTTCCAGAAATCATCAGGCGAACACAGAAAGACCTAGCAAGCAAATATATTATGTTGTATTTTAAAACAGCGATTTGGTAAGTCGATCTTATTACATTTCTCAAACACGACGGTTTCCACTTGGCAAAACGGGCGATCTGGTCCAGCCTTCCGGGGTTACGAGAGTGTCTCATGTCAGATCGTCCCTCCAATCGAGGTATTACAAACTTATAATATCGAATATTATCGCAGTGTGATTATTTCGTTTGTTTGTTTCAAAGAGGGACACCTTGGTCCAGCCTTCGGGGTTATGAGAGTGTCTCAGGCTGTACTGAGACGGATGATCGGGGCTTACCTGCGGGATAGGTCAATCATGTATATGGGCCGGGACGGACGTGTCTATTGGAGGGACGTCGACGAGGGTGTGTCCCGTTTGGGACCCCCACTGTGGAACGTGGGGTACAACCCAGTTTTGCGGGTCGTGATCCCGGACGGTGTCAGCATCACGTGCTTTGCAGATGACACGTACGAGTTTGACACCGACCGGGACTGGAGCAGGACCAGTCGTCTTGTGGAGATTGGTGTGGCTGTCGTCGCAGCTACGGTCCGGAGACTGGGGCTGCAGATAGCGCCCCACAAGACCGAAGCGATGTGGTTTTACTCGCCTCGGCGTGGGGTTGCACCACCTCCCCAGTCTTGGATCCGGGTAGGTGACACCAGGGTCCAGGTGGGTGAAGGATTCAAGTATCTTGGCCTCCACCTGGACAGCCACTGGCACTTTGAGAGGCATTTCGACCGTCTGGTCCCTCGATTAGACGGGGTAGCAAACGCCTTTGGGCGGGTGCTGCCCAATATCGGGGGGCCGAGCGAGAAGGTTCGCCGCCTTTATACGGGGATCGTGCGAAGTGTGGCCCTATATGGGTCACCCATATGGGCTGAGGCCCTGATGGCGTCTCGCCGCAGCCAAGCTGTGCTGCGGCGAGTGGAGATGAGGATGGCCATCAGGGTCGTGAGGGGATACCGCACGGTCTCCCACGCGGCGGCGATGACTCTGGCGGGTCTCGTACCTTTTAAGTACGAGGCGGAGGCCAGCGCCACGATTTTCTGACGCTTGCGCGGCCTCCGTCAGGCTGGAGAAGGCCCGCCAGAGCAGACGGTCGAACGGGAATGGAGGTGCCAGGCCCGAGAAGATGCCCTGGACCGGTGGCGTCGCGAGATAATCGCGAGCAGCGCCGCTGGCCAGCGAGCGGTCGGGGCGGTCCTGCCCGTCATCAAAAAATGGCGGGACCGCGGCTTTGGTCGGATCACCTTCCGGACTACACAGGTGCTCACCGGGCATGGTTGCTTCGGTGACTTCCTGTGCCGGATTCGTAGCGAGGCGACGGCTATATGCCACCACTGCGGGACGGGGCGTGACTCCGAGCAACACACACTGAAGCACTGTTCAGTGTTTGCGCGGGCTCGTCACGCCCTGCGGTGCGAGTTGGGGGCGGATCTCTCGCTGGCGAGCGTGGTAAGAAATATGTTCGCCGGTGAGGATCAGTGGAGGGCGATGACCTCCTTCTGTGAGGAGGTCATCGCCATGAAGGAAGAGGCGGAAGGCCTCCCGACGGCACAGTAAGCGGAAGAGGACGGGGCGGTGGGCCTTGATAATCCTGCCCACCGCCCCCAACAGGATGAGGGGGGGGAGCTTCGGCTCTCTCCCCAAGGTAGATGTTGTGGGGATGATGGGACAGGGGAGAGCTCCGGCTTCCCCCCCCCCCCCCCCCCCCCAGGTTAGATGTAGTGGTGGGAGGCTCCGACCTCCCGCAGGGGAACAGAAGGAGGGGCGGGGCTTGCCCCTCTGCCCCATGGCAGATCAGCGGCTTCTTGCGGAGTCGCTGGGTCATCATTGCACGCGGCCCGAGGAGTAGCCGGCGCCGTGTGTGGCCCCCGTCGTTGGCGGAGTTGGCACTAAGGGGGGGGGGGGGGGGGTCAAAGGTTACACCCTCCCCCGTGATGGGGCGCTATACGCCAAGGGTGGTTGGGTCCCGGTGTTGTTCGTTAGAGGTCCCGGGGCCCTTTCTTACGCCCAGTGCGGGTCGCCGTGGGGGTTTAGCCGGTAAAAATCCGGCACTACCCTCGGCCCCTCTCCAGGGGGGCTGGGGACGTCTTTGGAAGATTT